CTGCTGAAATCCTCACCTGCATGGCGATGTCACTAGGTGGGGCCTTGGGGAGGTGAATGGGTCATGGGGACAGGGGCCTCACAAATGGGAGGAGTGCCCTTAATTAAAAACTGCGGGGCCGGGCGCGGGGGCTCACGCCTGTCATCCCAGCACTTTGGGAGACCAAGGAGGGTGGATCACAAGGTCAGGAGATCAAGACCATCCTGGCTAACACCGTGAAACCCCGTCTGTACTAAAAATACAAAAAATATTAGCTGGGCGTAGTGGCGGGCGCCTGTAGTCCCAGCTACTGGGGAGGCTGAGGCAGGATAATGGTGTGAAGCCAGGAGGCGGAGCTTGCAGTGAGCCGACATGGCATCACTGCACTCCAGCCTGGGCCACAGAGCGAGACTCCATCTCAAAAAAATAAAACCTCCAGAGAGACCCCCGCCCCTTCCACCATATGAGGTTGGAATGAGAAGTCACTGTGAGGAATGGGCCCTCACCAGACACTGAGTCTGCCGGCACCTTGGTCTTGGACTTCTCAGCCTCCAGAACTGTGAGAATAGATGTCTGTGGCTTATAACCCAGGCCGTCTGTGGTATTTTGTTACAGCAGCCCAAGCCGACTAGGACAGTTACTGTGAATATGCCTGAAACCCAGTGACGTTTCTATGACCCGCACTGTTGCCTCCCTCTGTGGATGTGGATACACACTCATCACATATTCTGCTCCACATGTGAACAGCACTGGGTGCCAACACACAGTGAGGAACACAATGATAGAAGCCCAGCCTGTGCCCTTGGTGGGGACTGTGGGTATCCGATGACGTGAGAGCACTGAGGTGGCCAGAGCCAGGAGCACACCCACCCAGGGCAGGGGCTGGAGCTGAGCTTTGAGGTGGGCAGGTTTTCCTAAGTGGTGGGAGAGAGGATGAAAAGACAGAGCGATGACGGGATGGGGATGGGGCGTGCACAGGGCAGGAGAGAGGAGATCAAGGATCTGTCATCACAAATGAGGAGTATAGGAATCTGGAAGGCAGAACCAACACCACAACGGCTAACTTTCTATCTGGAAAAATACTATCTTGAAATACGAACACAGAAAGTCAAGTGGAACAAAATCTTCTTGACTCAGGCCTACCTTGAACGTAAGGATTCTGCAGGGGCCAAGGGGCATGAGATGGTTTTGTTCTTGCTGTCGTAAAAGTAGTGCTTTTTTTATTTTGAGACAGAGTCTAGCTCTGTTGCCAGACTGGAGTGCTGTGGCATGATCTCGGCTCACTGCAACCTCCAGCTCCCTGGTTCAAGCAATTTTCCTGCCTCAGCCTCCCGAGTAGCTGAGATTAGAGGCGCATACCACCACGCCTGGCTAATTTTTGCATTTTTAGTAGAGATGGGGTTTCACCACGTTGGCCAGGCTGGTCTCGAACTCCTGACCTCAGGTGATCCACTCATCTCGGCCTCCCAAAGTGCTGGGATGACAGGCGTGAGCCACCGCTCCCGGGCTCACGTAGTGCTTATTTAAGGCCAAGCTCCAGCCTTACGGAGAAGGGGACCGTGGAAGCAAAGACCCCGGCGCCCGTCCCGTCTGCCCCAGGGGCTGCCGTCACTTCCTGCGGCACTCCTAGGTGTGTGCGCGGCAAACCGGGGAGTGCGTGGAGGTGAGGACTTCCGGATGTCCCAAGGTGGTCGAGTTTCATGGCTGCCTTTTCTCTTATGGACGTGGCCACACTGAAAGCTGCCTCCTGCAAGTACAGCATAGGATGAGTTCTCCGTGGTGAAACTGCCAGCCCGAGACACGTGACATAGACTTTCTGGGGGTCACAGGGGGAAGAAGGGGCGCGCTGTTCTTCAGCTGTGCCCGGGGAGAGGCACACCCACCTCCGTAAGCCCCTGGGAGCTCTTTGTGATGCCACCTTGGTGCATCCCCACAAGCATCTTCTTCCAAACACAAACTGAGTATTTTATGAATGCATCATTTTTTTTTCTCTTGGAACAGGAATCTTTGCCTACATGAACTACAGAGTCCCCCGGACCAGGAAGGAGATCTTTGAAACCCTCATCAAGGGCCTGCAGCGGCTGGAGTACAGAGGCTATGACTCGGCAGGTGGGTCTGCGGCCACCCGCCTCGTGGCTGGGGACGGGGCTCCGCTGCTCTGGGCTCACCCATGTCCTCTGCAGGGGGGTGTACAACCTGGGCATTTTTCTGCTACTTTTTAACGTCTCTTTTCAATATAAAAATAACACTTGTCCGTTAAAGAAATTAGAAAACCGTAGACAAATAGAAGGAAGGAACAAGGGTAAAAAAACCCCAGAAAACCCCCTTCATCAGAAGTCCCCGATCAGGAAGCAGAGAGGGTACGAAGCTGCAGTCACGCCTCGTGAGTACGTCCAGGACGGCTGCCCTGCAGCGCGCGGTGACGGACCTGAACAACACTGTATTGTGCATATACAAATTTGCCAAAAGGGTAGTTTTTTATTTTTATCGCTCAGGCTGGAGTACAGTTCCAAGAAATTGGCTCCCTGCAGTCTCAGACTCCTGGGCTCAGGCGACCCTCAGCCGCCTCAGCAGCTGGGACTACAGGCGCACACCCGGTTAATTTTTTGATTTTGTAGAGATGAGGTCTCACTGTGTTGTCCGGCGTAGCCTCAAGTGATCCTCCTGCCTCTGCCTCCCAAAGCACTGAGATTATAGGTGTGAGCCAGCGAGCCCAGCCAAGAGGGTAGAGCGTGTGCTAAGTCCTCTTATCACACACAAAACAATACATAAAGAGGGCAGGAGGAGACGCTCGGAGGTGATAGGTTGATGGCATAGACTGCGGTGATGGTTTCCTGGGGGCATGTGGGCCTCCAAGCTCATCAAGTGTAAACGCTGAGTGTACACAGCTTTGCGCTTGCCAGGCCTACCTCAGTGAGGTGCCTGCCTTAAACAAGGACCCGACCCCCAGTCGTTGGGTCCCCCCTCTGGTCGCTCTTGTCTGTTGGGGTGGTCTGTGGTGGAGAGGGGAAGAGGTGTTGTACGTCAATATTTGCATATTTACAAAAAATATGCAATTTTGTAATTTTATTTTCTTCTCTTTTCACTTAGCATTTCTATGATCCTAAACTCTTTCATTTTTTTTTTTTTTTTTTTTTTGAGATGGAGTCTTGCTCTGTCACCCAGGTTGGAGTGCAGTGACGCTATCTCGGCTCACTGCAAACTCCACCTCGCGGGTTCAAGTGATTCGCCTGCCTCAGCCTCCCAAATAGCTGGGATTATGGGTGCCCACCACCACACCTGGCTAATTTTTGTACTTTTAGTAGAATTGGGGTTTCACCATGTTGGCCAGGATGGTCTTGATCTCTTGACCTCGTGATCCACCTGCTTTGGCCTCCCAAAGTGCTGGGATTATAGGTGTGAGCCACCGTGCCCGGCCGATCCTGAAGTCTTTCTAAGTAGGTTTCTAAGTGGCTACACAGCGCTGCACCGGGTGGCTGTCTCAGAGTTCAGGCCTCCACTCACTACAGAGGTGGATGTTTAGTCTGTTGACCCTGTATGCAGCCCGAGGAGAAAGGGGGATCCCGATTATTTTAGATCCCCGTTGACTCTTATGATAGACGATGGGAGAAACACTGACCAACGCAGTGGAAATGCAACGAAAATGTCACAATGTGGGGAGCCCTTGGGATGAATGCCCTGCCTGGGCCCATTGCCCTCAGCCGAGGGCCTGGTAGCGCCTGCAGTGGGGAAGCGTCCCGAGGGGCTCACCCTGGGCAGGAGTGGGGCTGGGGGCAGCTGTGGCCCGGGAGGAGGCAGGAGCTTCCCCACTTGCTGTTAAGCCTCTTTCAAAGTAGATTTCCTGAAAACTGTCCAGCTCTCCAACCCGCCGTAAACGGACAGCCCGGGGCACACAGCCCTGGCCCTGTGGAGCACCTGTGCCAAGTGTGTGAGAAAAAGCTTAAGTTCCAATATAACAAATAACGTCTACATCACAGGTGTGGCAATCGATGGGAATAATGATGACGTCAAAGAAAGATACATTCAGCTGGTCAAGAAACGGGGCAAAGTCAAGGCTCTCGATGAAGAACTCTACAGTAAGTGGAGGGCCTCGGAGCGGGAGGAGCCAGTGCGGCACCGCCGCTTTCTAGGACTGGATTCCAACAGCGTCGGACACTGGAGATTTTCACTTGTCCCGGCTCAGATACACAGAAGGAGGGTTAAGCCCATGCTGTAAAACCGGGCTTCGCAGGGTGTGGGATGGTTTATTTTAGGTAGTGGCAGCACGGGGATAATTTTTTTAAGTGTTAATAGTTATATACAGTAGTTATTTTAATTCTGGCAAATGATACTGCTTTTCTGTTTAGGGTAGGGATATATCGTTTTCTTTTTAAA